CTGATGGGAAAAAAAAAAAGAATTTAATGAGCTGGTATCCAATGTGTCTCCATATGCATCTCAAGACTTTCAAGTTTCCAATTTGGACTGGAGTATACATTTAGTATTGTTATTTACCGCATCCTTCCCAATCAAAAAAAGACCCATTCAAAAACAGCCATGACCATTTATTTATAATAATTGAGCTGCCTAAGACATAAGGCTATCCTGGGATCCAATGGGTGTGACTTCCCAACTCCTAGCCCAGCTCGAAGTTAACTATATGATCAACAATTAACAGCTACAGGTGCTTTCATGTGGATGCACCTTGGAAGCACCTTAACCACTGCAATACAGGGCACTTTTACCCCCTTCTTGCACAGTGCCAATTTTTAGCTTTCAGTGTTGTCGCACTTTGAATGACAATTGTGCAGTCATGCAACACTGTCTGTGCCTATAAAAAACAGTGTATCTTTTTTTTCACACAAATAGAGCTTTTTTTTTGGTGGTATTTAATCACCACTGAGTTATTTTTTGCTAAATAAACAAAAAAAATCCCCGAAACTTTTGAAAGAAAAATGCCTTTTTCTTTGTTTCTGTTATAAAAATGTCATAAATTTAAAGTCAAAATGTATTCTGCTACATTTCTTTGGTGAACTTACCCCAAATTAGTGTATATTATTTAGTCTGTAGGAAAGAGTCCACAAACCATGGTATATACATCTGACAATCGATCAATCCTGATATACTGACGGCCTATTTCATTTCTTGAGGCCGAAAACGCCCAGGATAGTACAAATGCCCCCCAAATAACCCATTTTTGGAAAATAGACAGTCCAAGGTATTTAGTATGAGGTAGAGATGAGCGAATTATTCAAAAATTCGGTTCGGCTGATTCGCCGAATAAATTCGCTTCGAGAAGCCGAATATATTCGCTGCGAATTTAACTTATAAAAAGGGTGTTTCTAGGCTTCAGAGAGCCTTTATATTAGTGCAAAACACTGTACCTTTAATTTAAATGCCTTGGAGTCTGCTGGGGGAAGAGAAATAATACTATCAGTCAGTATGACATGCAGATGAGTGCCGTCGATCTTAGAATCACCTGCACACTTCACTCATTTGGGCAGTCACGGGGCCAAAACCAGAGTGTGGAGCCACAGTGTGGGCGGTGGAGGCAGCAGCAATGGGAGGCCATACAGCACCCTATGACAAAATGGAAACCCACCAGCAGTGTGAGGAGACCTGAAAGTGGCACATGGCAGAGTGTGGCGATGGAGACAGCAGCAATGGGAGGCCGTACAGGGACCCATGACACACTCTGGACCTGGCAGCAGCATGAGGAGGCGGTACAGGGGCCCATGACAGATTACGGGCCTGGCAGCAGCATGAGGAGTCGGTACGGGGGCCCATGGCAGATTACGGGCCTGGCAGCAGCATGAGGAGGCGGTACAGGGGCCCATGGCAGAGTGGCGGAGCGTAAGCAGCTAAAATTGAAGGCCATACAGAGGCCTATGTTAAAAAGTCCCCCCAGCAGCAGCGTGGGGAGACGACTATCAAGAGTCCAAAGGCAGAGTGGCGGAGCAGAAGCAGCTTCAATTGAAGGCCATACACAGGCCTAGGTTTAAAAGTCCCTCACAGTTAATTCAATAACGAACTCTACTCCTCCGTGCAATCTACTTATGAGACCCTGGGCAGGTCTGGGTCCAATTTGTGGTAGAGACTGGTTTTGTTCAGCCATGCTTGAGCGAGTAATAACAGGTCTGTGGTGCCCTTTGGTGTCTGGCTTAATGCGCACAACACTGAACGTCCCAGCGTTTGTCAACGATTTGCGTTAAGTGATGCAAAACCGCTGAACCACGTTCATGAGGAGCCGGTACAGGGGGCCATGAATCAGTATGGACCTGGCAGCAGCGTGAGCAGACGACAGAGGCACATGGCGCAGGGTGGCGGTGTAGGCAGCATTATTCTGAAGCCATACACAGGCCTAGGTTAAAAAGCGGAAGCCGTCAGCAGCGTGAGCAGACGACAGAGACACATGGCGCAGGGTGGCGGTGGAATGCAGCAGTATTCGGAAGCCAAAAAGGCCTCGGTTAAAAAGCGGAAGCCGTCAGCAGCGTGAGCAGACGACAGAGGCACATGGCGCAGGGTGGTGGTGGAGGCAGCAGCAATGGAAGGCCATACAGCACCCTATCACAAAATGGAACCCACCAACAGTGTAAGGAGACCTGAAAGTGGCACATGGTACAAGTCAGTTTATTTAGCACAATCGGTCAATTGCAGCTTGCCGTTGGCTGGAAACTGTACGTTTATGTCACTGGAATGCACTAATCACCCAAAAAATATTACCGCCACCCGGCGTGTATATGGATTTAACTCTTTGAACGTACAATAGTGGTTGTGAAGCAGAAAGTCAGTTTATTTAGCACAATCGGTCAATTGCAGCTTGCCGTTGGCTACTTCATGTGCTGGTGTCCATCTTGGATTCTGCTGTGCATGATGGGAGCCCTTTTATGCCTTCAGGTTTCTGTGGTCCATCCTCCAGAGGGGTGTGGCTGATGACATATAAGCCTGTGGCCCGCACATGCTCTTTGCACTTGTGTCTTGTGTCTTTGTGTTGCTGTTACTCTGTTCTGACTCTCGTGACTCTCCTGGTATCTGATTCGGCTTGTCTTGACTATTCTTTGTATTCTCCTTTGATCTGACCCTCTGTTGCTGAACCCGGCTCGTGACCTGTGATTCTCGTCTGCTGTCCTGTACTGTTCTGTCCTGTTGTTGTTGACCCCGGCTTGTCTGACTACTCTTTTGTCTCTTCCACCAGCTACACGCCATTGGCGGCGGCCATTACCGCAGCTGAGGTGTCTCGGGGGCCGCGACCTGGTTCCTGGCTGCGTCAAGTCCATCCCCACCATCAGGGGCCCTGGTGAAGGGCAGCCTGGGACTTAGACTCCGCGCCCTGAGGGACTTCGGTCTGTGGGTGGTGGTTGTCGTCAGCCAGTGCGTTACATTGTTAGGCCTGCCTGTCCGTTCCTCAGCTCCTGCCCTGACATTACACAAGTGCCATGAACCCTGACGGTGCAGGCACGCCTTCGCTCCCAATGCTAGTCGCCAGACTCGATCAACAGGATCACCTGTTGGATCAGTTCGCTCAGGCGTTGCAAACTCTGCTTGCACGCACCGCGCACCTTACTCCTGGTGTTATTAGGCCGGTTGTCGCTCCGGTGGTCGCTTCCGCTGCTGTTCCGCTTGCTGTGCCTACCGCCGCGGCTGATGCGGCACCCGCGGTGTCCAGAGGTATGACCGGTTCAGCCCCTCTTCCACAGCGCTTTGGGGGTGAGCCGAGTCAGTGTCGTGGGTTCCTCAACCAGGTGGGTATTTATTTTGAATTAATACCCCACGCCTTTCCGTCTGAGAGGTCAAAGGTGGGGTTCCTCATCTCACTACTCTCAGACAAGGCCTTGGCCTGGGCAAATCCCTTATGGGAGAGGAACGACCCGGTGATTCAAGATTTTTCTGGTTTTGTCGATGCCTTCCGTAGGGTATTCGACGTACCGGCTCGTTCCGCCTCGGCGGCCAAGCTGCTCATGACCATGCATCAGGGTTCACGGACCGTGGCCGAGTACGCTATAGAGTTTCGTACCCTGGCGGCAGAGGTCGGTTGGAACAATGAGGCTCTGGTGGCTGCGTTTTCCCATGGTCTTTCTGACTCATTGAAGGACGAGATTGCAGCTAAGGAACTGCCTGTGGTGTTGGAGGAGCTCATCTCTTTCCTGATCCTGATTGACACCAGGCTCAGGGAGAGGCCTTCACTCAAGGAACGCCTGCGGAGGCCTTCCAATCGACTGGCACCTGCGTTTTCTGTCCCACCCGTTCCTCCCTCCTCCCACGCCTCCTGGGGATAGCTTGTCTGGTGGGGAACCCATGCAGCTGGGGTTTGCTCGCCTTTCCGAGGGGGAGCGGGCCGCTCGGCGTCGGGAGGGTCGCTGCCTGTACTGTGGCCTCGGTGGGCACTTTCGGCAGTCTTGTCCGGTCCGTCCGGGAAACGCTCGCACCCTGAGATCATGTCGGGGACAGATCTTGGGTGGAGTTTCCTCGTCCCCGGCGTTCCGCAAGGATAAGCCACTGATCACCGTGGTCCTTTCTTGGACAGGGGGCTCGGTGACGGCCCAGGCGTTGGTAGACTCTGGGGCCGGTGGGTTGTTCTTGGACAGCTCGTTTGCTGCGCAGCACTCCATTCCCCTGCAGGCTCGTGCTGCCCCATTGGTTCTCGAAGCAATAGATGGCAGGCCCCTGCAGCCGCCGCAGGTTACCCACGAGACCCTGCCAATAGAGGTAGCCATTGGGGCTGTTCACAGGGAGTTGGCCTGTTTTCAGGTGATTTCTTCCCCACACTATTCGGTGGTTTTGGGGTATCCCTGGCTCCAGAGGCACAATCCAACCTTCAATTGGCAAACAGCCGAGATTCTCTCATGGTCTCCACAGTGTGGGGCCGGGTGCATCCGGGGGCCGGTTAAGGTATTGTGTGCCTCCTCGGACTCTGCGTTGCCCACCGACTATGGGGAATACCGGGACGTGTTTCGATAAGGTACGCGCTGGTACCTTACCACCGCATCGTCCTTACGACTGCGCCATATCCCTGCAACCCGGGGCCACTCCTCCACGTGGCAGGGTGTACCCTCTCTCGGTTGCGGAGAATAAGGCCATGGAGGAGTACGTGGTGGATGCGCTTTCCCGGGGGCACATTCGTAAGTCTACTTCCCCAGCAGGAGCGGGGTTTTTTTTCGTAAAGAAGAAAGGTGGGGAATTGAGGCCCTGCATCGATTATAGGGGTCTCAATCGGATTACCATTAAAAATGCATATCCAATTCCTTTGATTTCTGAGTTTATTCGACCCGCCTTAAGGGAGTAGCAACGGTCTTTACCAAACTCGACCTTTGGGCGTCGTACAACCTCGTACGGATCAGACAGGGGGATGAGTGGAAGACCGTTTAACACCAGAATAAGTCTCCCACGGATCTCCCTTTGGGTCTTCTGCAACCCATTCCCAATGGGGAGCGTCCTTGGTCACATCTAGGGATGGACTTTATTGTAGACCTCCCGGTGTCTCGGGGTCATACGGTCATCCTCATGATCGTCGATCGGTTTTCCAAGATGTGCCATTGCATTCCACTCAGGAAATTACCCACAGCGCAGGAACTGGCCACGGTCTTTTCCAGGGAGATTTTTCGCCTGCATGGGTTACCTAAGGTGATTGTCTCAGACCGCGGGAGTCAGTTCGTGTCCAGATTCTGGCGTGCCTTCTGCTCCCAGTTGGGTATTAGTCTCTCCTTTTCATCAGCCTACCACCCGCAGTCCAATGGGGCTGCGGAGCGTTCCAATCAGGCCTTAGAACAATTCCTTCGGTGTTATATTTCAGACCATCAGGATGATTGGGCCGATCTCCTGCCGTGGGCAGAGTTTGCCAGGAACTCGGCGGTCAACTCCTCCACCGGGATGTCTCCCTTCATGGCCAACTATGGGTTTCAACCCGCGGTATTACCTGAGAGGTTCTCACCACAGGACATTCCGGCTGTGGAGAGAACCATCTTGCTGCCCTGCGTTCTTCTTGGGGGCAGATCCAGAGGGCCTTGAGGGACTCAGCTCAGCGCCAGAAGTTCCAGGCTGATCGCAGACGGTTGCCCGCTCCTTCATATACCAGGTCGGCGATCGGGTGTGGTTGTCTACTCGCAACCTCAATCTTCGGGTGCCCACCCCAAACTGGCTCCCCGTTTTGTCGGTCCTTTCCGCATTCTCCGCAAAGTGAATCCGGTGGCCTATGCACTTGCCCTTCCGTCTGGGATGCGGATCTCCAATATCTTTCATGTTTCCCTGTTGAAACCTCTGATCTGCAATCGCTTCACTACCTCTCTTCCTCGGCCCCGTCCTGTCCGGGTTGACGGTCATGAGGAGTATGAGGTGAGCCGGATCCTGGACTCTCGATTGGTGCGCGGTCAATTACAGTTCCTGGTTCATTGGCGCGGTTATGGTCCCGAGGAGCGTTCCTGGGTTCCTTCCGCGGATGTCCATGCTCCTGCCCTCCTCCGCGCTTTTCATACCCGCTTTCCTCAGAAACCTTTTGTTGAGCCGCGGAGGGGGAGGGGCCCTTGAGGGGGAGGTACTGTCAAGGTCCTACCTTTTCCCTGTGGTTATGTTACTTCATGTGCTGGTGTCCATCTTGGATTCTGCTGTGCATGATGGGAGCCCTTTTATGCCTTCAGGTTTCTGTGGTCCATCCTCCAGAGGGGTGTGGCTGATGACATATAAGCCTGTGGCCCGCACATGCTCTTTGCACTTGTGTCTTGTGTCTTTGTGTTGCTGTTACTCTGTTCTGACTCTCGTGACTCTCCTGGTATCTGATTCGGCTTGTCTTGACTATTCTTTGTATTCTCCTTTGATCTGACCCTCTGTTGCTGAACCCGGCTCGTGACCTGTGATTCTCGTCTGCTGTCCTGTACTGTTCTGTCCTGTTGTTGTTGACCCCGGCTCAGCTGAGGTGTCTCGGGGGCCGCGACCTGGTTCCTGGCTGCGTCAAGTCCATCCCCACCATCAGGGGCCCTGGTGAAGGGCAGCCTGGGACTTAGACTCCGCGCCCTGAGGGACTTCGGTCTGTGGGTGGTGGTTGTCGTCAGCCAGTGCGTTACATTGTTAGGCCTGCCTGTCCGTTCCTCAGCTCCTGCCCTGACAGGCCCTAAGTAACGATTCTGTGTCCCTGAGTAACAATTCTGTGTCCCTGAGTAACGATTCTGTGTCCCTGAGTAACGATTCTGTGTCCCTGAGTAACGATTCTGTGGCCCTAAAGTCTCTGTGGCCCTAACTCTGTCCCTTAATACACACAGGTCTGTCTCTCTTGAATGACCGGAGGCTAATGGAGAATTCTAAGATGGCCGCGATTTATAGCTCCACCATTACACAGTGCTGGCTGGCTGCTGATTGGCTAATGCGATCACATGTCATGAATGCATTATGGGTCAGCGCGCCTTGTCTGCGCGCCTTCCCAGAGATCCCCGCCCCATCTTCTCTGTCCATTTTCTCCGTCGCCACACATGTCGCCGCCATTTTTGGGGAAAATTCGATTCGTGCATCCGAAGTTTGCTAATCTTCGGATTCGTCGCGAATAGAATTTTTTCAAATCTTCGGAACGAATTCCACTTCGTCATGTTCGATTCGCTCATCTCTA